CGCCCCTACGGCCGCGCCCAAGCCCGGGAACCGCGGTGGCGCGCCTCCGCCCCGGGAAGGGCGAGGTTCCCGTCCCGACGCGCGGATTTGTCCCCGGGACAGTGATCCCGCCGTTCTCGGCATGCGGCTGCGCTGAGAGCCTGCCCGCCGGCGAACCCCAGGAGCCCGGCGTTCCCTGAGTGTCCTCCCGGCTCTGTGAGAAGGTGGACTTGTAGCCGGGCAGGATGACCAACCCCGCGGCCACGCAGAACAAGGAAATAGACTGTCTGAGCCCAGAGGCTCAGAAACTGGTAAGAGGAAAAGATATTTTCGAAACTTGGTTCTGATGCGAACGTTCGGTCCGTGCTGATGTTCTAGGGCCAAGGGCAGTTGGCACCTTCCGCTGCAGTCGTCGCTGCCTGGTGAGGTGTGGGGTGGGCTCCGCCTGACCGGGGACCCCCTTAAACGAACGTCCGCAAGCGGGAATGTGCGGTGGGGGCTCCTGCCCTGTGTTCAGTTCGCGGCTCCATTTGCTCTGTCCCCCCTTGTGCCCCGGAAAGCGCATTTTACTGGGCAACGCCCCTCACCAGGACGGGACGGAACTTAGCCTGGTCTCCTCTGCGTGCCCGTGGCTGCTTTTTGACAGGCTCTCCCCAGCTGGGTGACTCGGCCGCGGATCTGCGCGTGGGCTAGGGTTTCACTCAGAACTGCTGGTTTGATGTTTTACAAAATACAGCATCTAGAGATGGGCGCCCAGGGGCGGTGCCCTCACCCTGAGGCTGGCACCAGTGGCTGGGTGGTTTGGAGCATTTATCTGCTCTGGACCTTAGAACCAATAGGCTGGACCGGATTTCTCCAGCTCCCTCAACGACCTCAGTCCCGAAATCCACTTTGGCTGATCTCATGGGATCTCCCCTCTGGACGGGATCCTCCGTCTGTGAGGTCTAGCAGTATTGAGACCATGGGTCGGGGGTAGTTTGGCCTTAAAATCAGGCAGGGGGTGAGGCGGGGAAGGTTTGTGGTTGATTATGAATGGGTGTGTTTAAAGGTGAAAGGGCGCACTTTGGAAAAGAAACATGTTATTCAGTTAGTACTACAGAGAGGGACCCCAGATTTCCACTTTATTGGGCCTCTGTGGAACTTTGATAAAAAGTGAGAACCCCAAATAATCGCTCCTTCCCCAGGTAGGAACTAATCGTCTGCTGAGTGTTTCTGGAAGGTTCGAGATGATGAAACTGCCTTGACCCTGGGGAGCTTCCTGCTAAATGCCAGGGAGAGGTATAGAAATAGATTCTGATGAATACACACTTGAAAATTACATTCCTTCCTGAGGACTGCCTGGTGAATTTTTTAATGTCCATGTTCGTGATTCTCCTCTGACCGCACTTAAAGTTCCAGCCCTGGACCAGACCTTTGGGGCTGGTTCTTACCCCTTAGCCTCATTGGTTTCCTGGGGCCTGGGGACCTACAGAGAGAGCCTTGGATCACTGTCAGGGAAGGGCCCTTGGAAGAACGAAGGATGGGAGCGCTGCTGAGAGATGCTGGTGTTGGCGTTCCCGAGGAGCTGCCTAGGCAAACCATAGATGGCAAGAACAGGGTGATGTTAATCCCGAGTAAGCTTCAAGCTCAGAGGAATGAGCTGCTGGGCAAGGAATCCTTGAAGAAGAGAAGACTGAACACGGAGAACAAGGATGTGAGGAGGGGAGGGACAGGCCATCAGAGTGAGTAGAAGTGACACCTGTTACACTGAGACCCGAGGCACTGGCTGCAGGGTCCCGTTAACCCTTAACCTAACCCGGGGTCAGATCTGGTTGAGATGCGTGCTTTAGAGAGACGCCACCCAGAGTAGTTGACGGGGAAGTCTGGAACAGCTTCCGATGGAGAAGGTGCCTTCCGCCTCTTGCCCCAGTTCTATTATCCAGTGGGCTCTGAAAACCAAAAGTTGTTTGTCTTTTTTGTAAGTTTATGGCAGAATTCATTTGGCAGTGAATTCCACCCTGGCTGATGGGAGGCTGTTTTCAGTCTTTATTCCTCTCGTGTGAATATTTGTACATTTCTCTGCAGCCCTGTTAATTGCACTGAAGATTAAGGGCTATTATTACTCTGGGTTACAGAATATATGGTATATGCATCCTGTTACCCTTCTAGAATCCAAAAATTTTGAATTCTGAAACACATTTGTTCCCAGAGGTTTTTGGTAGTAAGTTGTGGACTTGTAGGAGCTTTTTGTTCGGTTGGTTTTCAGTAAATAGCTGCAGAAACCTTTTTTAGAGCAGGACATGGGGAACAGAAGTAAAATACAGTCCCTATTTGATGAGATTCATGGTTGAGAAGGAAATGACCCGTGGAGTGGGGGCGGGGGGTTGAGTGGGGTGTGTTAGAGGGGGACACCCGCAGCCACCCAGGGCCATGCAGTGCTCCAGCTGGAGAGTACTGGGCATTCAGGCTGGTTTGTGCCGCTTTGTGCTATGTTATGTGACCCTGTGTCCTGGGAACCGGGGTCTCCGGTGGAGGAGGAGGGCTGGGGCCACAGGGGTGTGAGATGAGAGCTGGGGCTGGCAGGAGATGGATCTGCAAGGTCCACCTCACCAAGCAAAGAGAAAAGCACGATCTGAGCAGGAAGTCCAGGCTCCTCACCCGAAGACAGTGTAGAAACTGTTCGTTACTGTAACGTTTGTAACTTCCCCGCGTTTGGGGTGGGTTGTGTCACCTCTCTTCGGGTCGCTTTCCACATACTGAGGAGCACTGAGCCCTTACAAACCGGCAGCCCGTTCTGAGAGAGGCTGTCAGCATAGACCGAGGACCCCCCAAGTCTCATTTTCCTGTAGGTGCCTGTGCCAAGGTCCCCATGTCCAGCTGAGCGGGAGCAGGGACGAACGGGGGAGGTGAACGCATGCCGAGGTGGCCGGCCCTGCTGGGGCGCAGGCTGAGGTTCTGAGCATTGAATCATGGTTTGTTTTAGGTGGATCATTTCTCCAAGCAGGTAAAACATAAAGACGGTAAGGTAGGTCTAGTCTTACAGTAGGAAGCGTGTCCCACGAGGGCAAAGATGGAGGCGAAGTTTTCCTTTTTCTTGAAGAGTTAGTTTCTGTTCAGCCTGAGCTAGTATCAGCAGAGCGGAAGCCTCCTTGGCAACTTTTTTTCAACCCTGCAGTCTAAACTGCCTCTTACCCTGAGCACAGGAAGCCAAGTTATTTATAACCGCTGAAGTGTTTTCAGGCGAAGCTGATTGGAGTATTACCTGATTAGAGTGGGGTCTCTATCTAGTTTCTCCAGAATTATGAGTCTACATGTTGGTATGATGTGTTTGCTCCTCAAAAGGCAATGTTCAAGAGGAAATTCTTATCCCTGAAGGATCAGGCCGTGTGACTCAGCACAGGAATTGTTTGTGACTAGTTACTCATATGCCAGCGCGTTTCCAAAATATCTGATCATGTTTGAAAGTTTTAATCTTGGAGCCCCATGGGCCAGAAGATTCGAGTTACTAGCCTGTTATCCCAGTAAGCCTGTTACCTCTCACTTACGTGTTAGGCACAGGGCGGGGAAAAGAGGAATTTTTATTACCTTAACTGCTTTTGCTCTGGGCCACCCAAATTTCACTGTGTGTGTGTGTGTGTGTGTGTGTGTGTGTGTGTGTGTGTGTTTTAAAGCAGCTGGCTTTCATGGAATGGATTTATCAGAACTCTGATTATTCAGACTATCTAGTTGAAGTAACTTGATTTCTTCCTTGTAGGTTAAACAAAGCACTGTTTGGCCACATCTGAGCTGTAGTGACTCAGAGCTGCCGTGTGTTTGGTTGCAGACCACTGCTCAGACCCCCCTTCTGAGACTCATTTATTCATCGGGGGAGGGGCCAGAGCTTCACGTGCTTTTCTGCTTAGCACTGCAACTAGACAGCTTGAAAGCCTTGTAGTAGTCTTATGTGGAGTCTGAAGTACAACCGCTTTGTACTTTAAATTACTCTGAGGAAGATTTGCGTTTAACTTAAACTAAGATGTTTTGTTTGTGTGTTTGTGTCGTAGGGCTTATCAGAGCGACCTCACTTCTGAGCCTCATGTCTGTTATTATCTGTGGCCAGTGGGTGTGTGATCTTCCTGGGGGAAGAGAAACAGGGTGGGCTTTGGGGGTGGGTTGGGAGTCTCCACCTGCCTGCCCTGACATCTCCCCAGGGCGCCCGGCCCTGCTGCGGCCTCAGCATGCTTGTCTTCTTGTGCTGCTTTTAAACTTCCTCTGAGCTGAACTCCCTCCGCTGGGTCCGTGGCTGTGATCGAAGACACTGTGTAGGTAGCAAACGTAGGCAGCGTTTCCCAGACCCCGGCTGTGTCAGCCCTGTTGTGTGTTTCTGTAGAAGCCTGCCCTCGCATGACCTCATGAGGTGGTTTGATCATTTCCACTTACAGATGAAGAGGAAAGGGGCTCCGAAAGTTGTGGGGACTTTCCCAAGTCCACGCAGCCAGCAGGCAGCAGGGCTGTTCAGACCGAGGCCTGCTGGTTCAGAACTGGTGCTAACTGTCTCCACTGTATACAGTGCTCAGCAGGCTCGGGCCGGCCATGAGCACGCATCCTCGCCGTTGTCAGCCTCTCTGCAGCCCTGGGTGTCCCAACCCCAGTATCTGACTTGATGGATTTCTTTTTACAAAGGCAGCCTCTTAGGACACAGGTCTTTGCTCCTGAGTGCGTACTGAGAAGTCTCTGCTTTATCTCATGTTTCCTTTCTATTTCTGGTAGTTTTTTAGACAAAAGAACACTCAATGGAATGTATTTAGCTAAATAAAGAAAAGTAGAAATGACAGAGCTGCAGAAATTATTTTTGTGGTTTTCACGCTGTGCCAACTTTTAGCTGTGACCCATGTCACCCACACCGGGAGCTGCTGGGTACCAGCCTCAGCCCTCCCCGGCCAAGCAGACAAGCTCATTGAGGATGGAAGTGACGGCTTCTGGCTCTTTCCTCGCCAGTTGCAGGACTATCACCTGAATAGAGGAAAGGCTGTCAGTACTTGTGTGCTGCTCACATGGCAAAGCCTGATGCTGCTGCAACGTCCAGCCTGATTCTGAGACGGAACAGTGTCAGTGTTTTGTGTCACCTTAAAGGTGTGGGGTTTGCAGGGACACGGAGCAGGCGAACTGAAGGGCGTGGAGCCCGGATGCGTTGGCTGGAGGGAACGTGTCATCTGGAGCACTGCACAGGTGAGGCCGTGCTGCTCTCTCCTGTCACCTGGCAGTCACACACAGGGTCATTTGTGACTCTCGTGCCCTTGCTTGTCATGCAGCATAGTGAGGCTATCGAAGGAAGTGTGAACATCAGTCATCT